ACCCCTGGTCATAAGAGGGATTAAGCAGTAGAACTAAATAACGAGCCGAGGTAACTTCAAGCATAAGCCACTCGCACACAACTATTTAAAACAAAAAGGAATATATGGTGGGTTCTAAATCTCAAAACAGAGCTCTAACTGTCAAAAACATTTTTCTTTGTCACCATTTCGTAATTCACATCCATTATTATTTGTGAACTATGAAGCAGTCACATTGGACTATAGATAAACAAAAATAGAGGAGGAAAAACTTGTGATGCAAAATGTATGTTGGGTGATCTTTTCTATTTCCCTGGCAACTAAAATTTCCTCAAGCAGAAATCTATTAACTCTTACCTTTTATTTCACACACAGCCATCTTTATACTTCCTTTGCTGCCTTTGCAAACATCATCCTGTGAATCATAGTACGACAATATCCCATTGTCTAAAACAAACCACCGAGGCTGCCAACCTAGTGAGATCAAAAACATGAAAAGGAAAGTTCAGTCTAATTACTAAATTGCAAATCAAATTCAGCTCTTTGGCTGTTAAAACTTTCATAAAAAGTTTTAAACACATTAAACTATTCATTTAACACAGCAGGAAGTAAACAATCTGCGCAGTCTGAAGACCAGAGCCACTCTATAACCAAACTATATTATATAGATATTTCACTCCCATTCTTTTTGGATGCAAGATCAGCAGTATTTCAGTTTTCACTACATTCCATTCTAAAGCAAAATTAAATTTTAATTTAGCCACCAAGGAATCCTATTTTGAAGGTTGGTCCTTCAGACATACATAATTTATCATTCTCATTTCAAGTGTATTTTTTAGGCAGACTTTCCTAAGATTGTAGGATCTTATTTGTAAGACACAAATGACTGATGTCAAATTGCTATGCTATGGTCACCTCTGCCTACTGCATTTCAGTGAAAACTTCTATATTTCACACTTAACTATTGACACACCATTTTCTCTGAAAGTAGCCCAGCTCCATTGCTCAGCAACAATTTAATATCAGGCATTGTGTGGGGAACTGACACATGGCTCATACTCCTAGGTCCATTTGTGAGGACAGCATACACCAGCTCCTCTACTAAGATTTTCACCAGCTTTGCATTAGCAAAATTATATGATGATCTCTGACTTCACTACATCTATAAAACATAGTTTATGCATCGATGCAAATACCTGCGAGAACTGTATGCAGCATTACACTACATAGTAAATTGTTGTCATAGGCTTAAAGTATATTAGCATTCCTTTTTTTTTTTCCTTCCTTTTTTTCCCTTTTTTTTCTTTTTTTAACAGCTATTTCATAAAACTCAAAATAGGTGCCCTAATTTCTAATACTACTAAATGCAAACCATTTTGCCTAGTAAATCACCTTTGCTTCTAAAAATAACATAGAACTAAAATATTCCAGTAGAGCATAACAGTTACATTGGCCCATTACAGTCTGGGTCAGCTGTACGATAGGAGCAGATTATCCCTCTATTTTACAACTCAACACCAAACTTATACTTGGCTTAGGGTCTGAACTGGCAACAACTGCGTGGCCAAGAACTCAACGTTTATGGTGATATGACGGTGTGGTCCACAGCACTTACCAATTGGCATTCCAACAGAGCAAGCTGCAGCCATCCAGCAGCAGTGTATTATAACACAGGAGGCTTAATCAGGTACCAGACTCTTGAAAATCAGCTAAAGGCTTCATACTACTCACATTAAGTCATTACAAGTTTTAACACTAATTCAAGAAGCGTAAGACTAGACCCCATTACCTCATGTCACAATTCCATGATAAGGAAATAATAACATGTAACTATTTTTTTAATTTATTAGCTATAATGGTAAGCATCTGTGCCTTTCAAAATGCAGAATGGTAACTAATAAGCCTATCCACACTCAGGTATAAAACCAGAATGAAAAAAGTACAAACTTTAAAGGATACCAACTCCCACAGGAAATATTTCAAATTGTATATGTACATCACCACTTATACCCAAAGAATATGCAAACAGACATGAAATGACTGTACTGAAGACCCTGTCCTCTAAAAAGCAGCTCAGAAATGCACTAATGTTTTTTTTCCTGCTACACTGTGTTGCAAAACATTGACTCTGTGCTGCCCTTATCTCCTAAGTGCATGCACAGGTGGTAAGTCAACCCCTGTTTCAACATTCCGATTCCAATCAAAAGGGATGGATGATTATTCCAGCCTCACATTATGCTGGTATTGGAAAAAACAGAAGCAAAGGATTTAAAAGATTCCAAGTGCCTCACAGAAGCAAGCTATAGAACAAGAACACCTCTTCTGATTTGAAATTGGGCAAACAGCGTCCTATGTTTGACAAAATATTTAACAAATTTGTACTTCACAAATTCTTAGATGCACACATACTATTTGAGGGGAAAAAAAAAGACCTATTTCTGGGCTTTGCTTTTAATGAAGGAGGAAACTAAATGTTTTCCACGATGCTTCAGCAACTGTAATAAGCTCCTTTGCTGCTTGGCTTCTACCGTTAATGACAACAAGTACTACAGCCTATTTCTGGCTACAAAAATAGACAGTAGAGTAATAAGAAAGTTGGTAGTAATAACATTTAAAAATTTCACTAATATTATTAGATTTTTTTTTATTTGCTGCCCTCCTATATTCCAGAAGTTGTAGGGAATTCCCGACACTGTAATTTTGAAATGCAAGAGGAGCAGATGCTCTCAGTTGGCCAGCACACACGGAAGGAAGGGTTCTGCAGTTTGCTATTTTAGAGGGCTACTGACTTTTAGCAGAAGTGAGCTGCATGTTGATATAAGAGTCTATTGTGTGTACAGCATTCACAGTTATTGTTGAATATTTACTTATTAGATAACAGACTTCAAATGGGACGTTTATATGAAACACCACACGAGCTCATTACCTGTGATCTTCTACCTTTTGCTACAGTAACATTTTTGGTCACATAAGTGAAAGTGACAATTTCCATTCTATTTCAAAAGGAAGTAATGAGTACAAGTTATTTCTTTCATAACGACAATTTTTCCTATATGTTTTCTGTACATTTATTGGGAAGAAGTGAAAATACCTTATCAAATATCTATTTAATTACAGTAAAACTGTTCTCTGACTACAAGGCCAGTATACATAGACACATACTTGCTCTGAAAAATGCAAGATTATGCTCTTTACACTTCAATTCACAGCAAGTGCGCACAATTCTTGCAATGTGGCCCGTGTTTTATAAATGCTCAGAATTGAGTTTCACCCCACTCCACATTGAAAAATCTGAATATGCTGAAGCAGAACAGCACACGTGAAGTGCTGAAGAACGAGAGGGCAAAGAAGATATTGCCAAAGCAGTCAAACACGAGGCCTGATTAAGCACGGTATATGATCCGACACTGATCTGCTCTGGAGGGACAGTTAGTCCTATTAGAGTGTCAGAAGAGAAATCTGTTTCACCTTGACAGTACCATCTATCCATTGCTATCTCCAGAGGGAGGCGGTATCTCTATTACAACAGAGTACAAGGCAAACAAAACCAGAGCTTTGACGGCAAACGCAGGCATTTAGTGCATTTTTTTCTGCAGCACTTCTAAAAGTAAATGGTGTGAATACTTCACCCAGAACTGAAGTTTTTTTATCTGTTTTACAGGTTAGGATACAGGAGCACAGATTCAGAAAAATTACCATTCAAAACCAAATTAAAAGAGAATTCAGACTTTTACATTTAGCGTTGAAGATTTAAAGATGATTCCTCAGCTGCGAGCGAGGACACCCTGCAAGTTTGTATGCTGCAAATTAAAGCTATTTCTGAGAGGAAAGAGGGGAAAACCCCACAGCTGGGCCGTTAGCGTGAGACACTTCAAACAGCGTTTCCCCGCCGCCGGTCCCGTTACGAGTCCCTGACTAACTTGGCAAGGCGCAATCCAGGTCTCCAGAGGTGCCTGGCCACCCAGCTCCCAGTGGAAGGCCACGGGGGCCGGGCACATCTCGGTTGCGAGGCTGTCGGGGCCGCGCTGGTGCCCACGCCGCAGGGCTGCGAGGGAAGCGCGAAGGGGCTCGGCCCGGCTGAGCGGCT